CATTCCATTGATTGGCTGACCATAGCCAATCATCATAGTGTTAACTATAATCATCATAGAGTCAATTTGGATAATAGTAATTTGGATAATAGTTGTATTAACTGGTATTCCTTGTAGGTATATAGATATCATCCTTTCAAAGACAGCACTGTTCTTCAAGATGGATCTTGAAATGCTCTTTTTGATGATAAATGCAATGCCATTGCTATTCAATTTGTCATTCCTTGCATAGAAAACAATGTGATTGTCAGATTCAGAATAGCCAATGCCAGTCTGCTTCACCTCATTAATGCCAGGGATATCAATCTTTATGTGTTCCATTTCATTTTTGACAACTACCATTTTTTGTAGATTCATAGTTGGTATATTCCATGTTCTGATTACTTATGGATGTTTACATCTATTTCTCCTAATTTTGAGTTGTGCCTCATCAGAAAATAAAAGTCCCGAAAGCTTTACGCCATGCACATCATCATAGTCAACCCGACTTTGAGGAGGCAGCTCTTAGTATTTTCAGTGCCTTTCATCCTGAAGAGCTCGTTCTTCCAGCACTAAATCTGACACCATTCGGGTACTATTCATAATATTTTCATCTACTGGCACTATATCTGACTGTGTTCCACTTTGTCAGGTTTCAATGGCTAAACATTCAGAAGTAGTTTGCCTGCTTTTCCTATTCTGTCTAGTCTGAAACCTTAACTGAAAACTGCCCATTATGGGTGACCCTGCTGATATTTAAAATACCGCTGGCATACTTTCCAATGTCACAGTAACACACAAGCCACCACAGTGCAACAAACTGACAAACGAGTGGTGGAAGCTTTGTGTTAGGCCCAGGAATTCCAGAAATTAAATTTCAGTCTCCTTCTACTCCATGAATTTAGGATCTAATGGCAGAAGGATAACCCAATGTAATTATTTTCTTCAACAAACCTACTACATACTTCCTATGTTCTAAGTATTTTGCTGTTTGCTGAAACAGATACTATTTTACTTACGGCACATATAATCCAATAAGCAATGCATAAAACTAATGACATAATTACAATTTTATGATATAAATACTATGATAAACTTACACTTAGAGTTTCATGGGAGGGGGAAGCTTGTATTATGTGTGGGTGTTGAGAGTGAGAATGCATTAAAATAAAAAGAAGAATTACCAAAATTATTATTATTATCTGGTGTATAATTGTCTTTGTTGTTGTTAGATGCCTTCTGGTATGGTCCTGGGGGTTAATTCACTGGACTACATCATTGGTTTGAAATGCAAGGTCAGCAGTTCAAGCTTACCAGCCACTCCTGGGAAACCCTATTCAGGGTCGCCATGGGTTGGAACCAACTGGAAGGCACTTAACAACAACATGTGCCTTCTAGTCAGTTCTGACTGATAGCAAAAGAACAAATCCCTACCAAGTCCTGCGCCATCATCATAGTTGCTGCTATGTTTGAGTCCATTGTTGCAGCCCCTCTGTCAATCCAACTGGCTGAGGAGCTTCCTCTTTTTTGCTGACCTTCCCTTTTATTAAGCACGATGTCCTTTTCCTGGGATTGTTCCTTCTTGATAACATATGCAAACTGTGAGATGAAGTCTCACTATCCTCACTCCAAGGAAGCATTCTGGCTGAACTTTTTCCAAAACAGATTTGTTCTTTCTTCTGGCATTCCACAATATAGTCAGTATTCTTCACCAGTCTACCATATTCACTGTCCAGCTTTCTCTTACATTGTTGTTGTTGTTATGTGCCGTGGAGTCAGTTCTGACTCATAGCAACCCTATACAGAGTTTCTTAGGCTGTAAATCTTTACGGGAGCAGAAAGCCTCATCTTTCTCTTACACTGTTGTTGTTGTTAGGTGCCATCAAGTTGTTACCGACTCATAGCAACGTTATACACAGCAGAATGAAACACTGCCCAATCTTGGGCCAAACTCACTACTATTGCCACACTTGAGTCCATTGATGCTGCCACTTGACCAGTACATCTTGTTGGGGGTCTTCCTCTTTTTCTCTGACCCTCCACCTCACCAAACATGATATCCTTCTTCAGTGACTGGTCCCTCCTGACAATATGTCTGAAGTATGAGAGACGAAGTTTGGCCATCCTGGCCTCCAAGGATCACTTAACTTGGGTCAGGAGAACACCCCCTTTTTTTTTCATTTGTTATTATGGTTTGGATGAACATTTATATAGAAAGTTAGTTTTCTGTTTAACAACTGATACCCATTTTGTTTTGTGACATGGACTGCAATCCCCACAATGTAATAGCACTCTTCCCACTTTCCCTCTGTGCTTCCCATTTTCATCACTCTTCTTTTCTGCCCCTTCTTGACCTCTGAAATTTGTCCCTGGGCAAATACTGTCCTTTTGGTATGGTATTGTTGATTTTTCTAAGGCTTGCCTTTTTCCCTAGTGTTATTGTTCACCTTACAAGCCTGTCTGTTGTTTGACTGAAAGTTGATACACGGGGGGATGAGTTCAGTTCCAGACTTAAAGTGTGTCTGAGGGCCATAAGTTCTAGGGGTTCCACCAGTAAATGATCTTTTTATTTATTTATTTTATGATTCTGAGTTTTATTCCACATTTTTCTCCTACTCTATTTAATACCTCCTGTTGTGATCCCTTTCAGAGTGGTCAACAGTGGTAACTGGCCCCATCTAGTTCTTCTGGTCTCAGTCACAGAACCTGGGGTTCATCGGTCCATTATTCCTTTGGACTAATTGTTTCCTTGAGTCTTTGGTTTTCTTCACTCTTATTTGCTACTGAAGGAGAGATACCATTAGTTGTACCTTGGATGACTACTCACAAACCTTTAAGACTCCAGTCGCTACACCAAAGTAAGATGTAGAACATTTTCTTTGAGGACTGTTATGCCAGCTGATCTTTATGTCCTCCAACAGGTGAAACATTGAAACCGCCAACTTTTCAGTTAGCACCTAAGCAATTAACAACTGTGTTACCAGAGCTCCTTCTGGTTATAATTGTTAATTGCTGTCAAGTCAGTTTCCACTTATAGTGACATGGTGTTCAAGACTCTGTCTGGTCCTATGCATTCTTCACAGTTGTTGCTCTGTGGGAGCCTGTGGTTGCAGCCACTGTGTCAGTCCATCTCAGTGAGGTCTTCCTCTTTTCCACTGACCCTCTGCTTTACCAAGCATGATGTCCTTCTCCAGGAACTGGTCCTCCTAATAACATGCCCATTGTACATGAGGCAAAGTGTCCCCATCTTCACTTCTAAGGAACATCCTGAATGTATTTATTCAGAGGCAGATTTGTTCTTTCTTCTGGCAGACCACGATACAATCTTCACCAACACCATAATTCAAAACTATCAATTCTTTGTTCTTCCTTATTTATTGTCCAGTTTTTGTATATATGGGACAATTGTTTATGATGGTGTTGATGGTTGTGTGCTGTGGAGTCGGTTGCAACTCATAGAGACACTGTTATAGGGTTTCCGAGGCTTTAAATCTTTATAGGAGCAGAAAGCCTCATCTGTCTCCTGCAGAACCGCTGGTAGTTCAAACTGCTGATCGTGAGATTAGCAGCCCGACTCATAACCACTATGCTACCAGAGCTCCTTAGTGTTTATAATAGTCTCCTATTACTCTTTTAATATTTTAAAATTAAATACACAGCTTGCGTTTTATTTCTAGTGGACAGTTCTGCAAGTATGCTCTATAAATAGGGTTTAGAGGCAGCAATCAGGTTGAAAGAAGGAAATTAAGGTGCATTTGCATTGTATTCATGTATTACTTAATATTGAGAAAGCATGTTCAATATAAAAATTTGGGGGGGATTCTTGAGGAGACTTCTTTGAGAAGTAAACTGTCTTCCCAACCTGTGGTACCACCATTACCTGCTGTATCGTTTAAGCTGAACCATCAGCTCTATAGTCCTACCTCCCAGAAGCATAGGTCCCTAAATTGGCTTTGTTTAGATTAGAATAATGCTCTAGGGACCGGAGTCTTCTGAAAGACGGTGTCTAATAGTCTAACGCAATCCAAATCTCAAAGAGTTTTTGCAGCCACCCCTAGCATCACCCATTCTAAGACAGGTTCCCTTGAAGGTTTCTCTGCCAGTGAGTTACAGGTATATTTTTTTCATTTTTCTCATGAGCACAGATAATTATCATATCACAGGCACACAGATACATACACACATATTTTTCAAGGACAAATAAACTTTTGAGACAGTACAGTTTAAAGTATAGAACATAAATCCAAATGCCTAAGGATAATCTGAAAAAAGCAGGTGTAAGAAAACTAGGGGATTGTAGGGACTATGGCAGTATTTGTAGGCAAGTGTGACCAAGAGTGCAGGGATGCTAAATCTCCAAATTTTCCAAAACAATTTGGAAATCAGGGTTTTTATGAAAACTGTCCAAATTTCTAGTTTAGTTCAAACCTATAGAACAATCAATTTTAAACTTTTGATCCAAAAAAAAAAAAAAAAGAGAGAGAGAACTATTCAGTATTTCCCCAACTGCACCCTAATTTGCAAGGCTGCTTCTTTTACCAAGAAAATAGGATGGTAGTGGTGGTTATATGCCGTGGAGTTGGTTCCTACTCAGAGCGACCCTATACAGGGTTTCCAAGGCTATAAATCTTTACGGGAACAGAAAGCCTCATCTTTCTCCTGCAGAACACCTGGTAGTTTCGAACTGCTGACCTTAAGATAATAGCATAGCTTCTGAAAATAACTTCTCCTCAGTATAGGTTGAGGGTGGGCCTGCCAGAAATTAGAATGGGACCCACTGCAGAGCCTTCCACTAGTTGCAAAAATACCTGGATAAAGTTTGAAATGATTACTTACAAAGATGTTAAATTCTTAACCAAGGGCCTTTTGTTATCTAAACTTTTTTGTTTCTAAATAAGTAAAATTCTGAAATAATGAAAGTATCGTTAGAGAATGAAGGTATGTTTTGAAACTATTTCCTGTGTTGAGGCATGTAAAATGTATTGTCTATTTCTGTTATGTACTTTACATTTTAAATACAGAGCCTTTGAAGAAAAACGAAAAGAGCAAGAAGAAAGAGAGCACCAAATCAGAGAACAGATACTTCAGCAAAGAAAACAGAAGTTTGAAGAAGTCACTGAACGATTCCAACGTGCCCATATTCCTCCTTCACACCGTAGGAGAACAGGTACCTTAACTTCTTGAACAATGTTGTTGTTGTTACGTGCCGTCGAGTCGGTTCCGACCCATAGCGACCCTGTACAGGGTTTCCGAGGGTGTAAATCTTTACGGGAGTAGAAAGTCTCATCTTTCTCCCGCGGAGCGGCTGGTAGTTTCGAACCGCTGACCTTTAGGTTCGCAGCTCAATTCGTAACCACTACGCAACAATATGAGGACAAAAATGAAAGTCACACGTGTGATGTGATTAGATATACAATGACAAATGAAGAAGCAGTAGAAACTCAAACTAAAAAGTTTTGTGTGCCTTTTGAGTACAAGGAATTTAACCAAATGAAAAACGTAATTTGAGTTAGGTTTTAATTCAGGAAATATTTTGCCACTTCTGTTAGTGTATTTTGAAACTGGTTTTGTCTTTTTAAAAATTTTATTTCATAAACAGTTTAATTTTTTAAAAATAAACATTTGAATTCATTTAGTAATAGCATCATACTCATTTTTACTTTTATTCACAATTTTATTTAAATTCATATTTGAGATACTGACAAGGCAAACAAAAAGTCCAGGTGTGGTGCTGCAGGTTAATGCACTGGATGGCCAAGTCAGTTTGAAATGCAAGTTCCGCAGTTCAAGCTCACTAGTCACTCCTCGAAAACCCTATATAGGGTCACCATGGGTCATAACGGCACTTAACAACAATAACTAAGTGGTATAATCTAGAATCTGGAATTTATGATTATTTAAATATGTTAACTGATTCATGAGCTTCATACCTTTTTTTGTTTGTTTGTTTAATAACTTAACTAAGACAACAAAAAACTGTCAGAGCTTCATACAGCAAAAGGTACCTTTAGCATACAATAAACATGTACTATGTTGTACTTAGCAAATTGAATTGGACTGTACTCTTAAAGCTTCCACAGCCTAGTTTGGATACGAAAGAAATATCAATAATAAATGCAACTAAATATACGATGGATGTTATAGTAATAGAATGTGTAAATACTGTGAGAACACAAACTAAAGAGTACTAAACTGCATAAAGAGATCCAGGAAGTCATTACTGAGAACATGAATCTTGAAGGATGAGCATTTCTCAAGCTGAGGGAACTGAAGAAAAAATTCAAGCCTCAACTTGTGGTATTAAAGGATGCTATGGGTTAAATATTGAATGATGAAGAAAGCGTCAAAGAAGATGAAAGGAAGACACAGAGTCACTATTTAAAAAAAAGAAAAGAAATGGTTGAAGTTCAGCCATTTCAAGAGGCAGCATGTAATCAAAAGCCAGTGATCATGAAGGATGAAGTCCAAGGTGTGTTGAAGTCATTGGCGAAGAACAACACAACAGGAATAGATGGAATATAAATTGAAATCTTTCAACAAATTGATGCAGCACTGGAGAAACTCATTCATCTATGCCAAAAAGTTTGAAAGACAACTATCTGGCCAACTGACTGGAGAAGATCCATATTTGTGCCCATTTCAAAGAGAGGTGACCCAACGGAATGCAGAAATCATCTGACAGTATCATTGATATCCCATACGAGTAAAGTTTTACTAAAGATAATACAAAAAATGGTTGCAACCATACATTGACAGAGAACTTTCAGAGGTTCAAAATGGTTTTAGAAGAGGATGTAGAATGAGGGATATCATTGCTGACATCAGATGGATCGTGGCTGAAAGCATAGAATACCAGAAATAAAGCATTTACCTATGCTTTATTGACTATTCAAAGTATGGATCATGACAACATTGCAAAGTATGAGTATTCCGGAACCATTCATTGTGCTAATGAGGAACCTGTATATAGACCCAGAGGCACTTGTTTGAACAAAACAAGGCAACACTGAATGGCTTAAAATTATAAAAGGTGTGTGCCAGGGTTGTATTCTTTCACCATATTTAATCAATATATATGCTAAGCAGATAATTTGAGAAGCTGGATTATATGAAGAAAAAATGTGGCATCGGGATTGGATGAAGACTCATTAACAACCCACAGTATAAAGATGATACAATCTTGCTTGCTGAAAGCAAAGAGGACTTAAAATACTTACTGATGAAGATCAAAGACCATAGCCTTAGCTATGGGTTGCACCTCAGCGTAAAGAAAGCAAAAACACTCACCATTGGACCAATAAACAACATTCTTATCAACGGAGAAAAGATTGAAGTTGTCAAAGACTTCATTTTGCTTGAATCAGCCATCAACATTCACAGAAGCAGCAGTCAAGAAATCAAACGACATATTGTATTAGGCAAATCTGTTGCACAAGACCTCTTTAAAGTATTGAAGAGCAAAGTTGTCATTTTGAGGAATAAAGTACACCTGACCCAAGCCATGGTATTTTCAATAACTTCATATGCATGTGAAAGTTGAATAGTGAATAAGGAAGACCGTAGAAGAATTGATGCATTTGGGTTATGGTGATGGAAGAGACTACTGAAATTATCATGGACTGCCAAAAGAACAAACACATCTGTGTTGGATGAAACACAGCCAGAGTGCTCCTTGGAAGCCAGGATGGCCATACTTCATCTCTCCATACGTCAGACATATTATCAGAGAGACCAATCCCTGGAGAAGGATATCATGTTTGGTAAAGTAGAGGGTCAGAGAAAAAGAGGAAGCCCCTACGAGATGGATTGGCACAGTGGTAGCAGCAGTGGGCTCAGACTTAACAATGATTGTGAGGTTGGTTCAGGACAGGAAAGTTTCATTCTGCTATGCATAGGATCACTGTGAGTCAGTACTGACTCGATGATAGCTAGCAACAACAGTGTTATAAAAAGCAAGACTAAGCTTATGAAAGACAACTATTTGTCTATTAAGTTTATTACTGAACTATTATTCCCACATAAAGGGGGTTAAGACAAAAGATCACCAGGTATGCACAATAGCTGACTCTTTCCTTTGCTCCAAAGAAGGGCAATGGATTGGGGTTTTTAATGAGGTCAGAAAATTGTTGGAATGAGAATATTAGAGTAAAAGAACTAAAAGAATTGGAGCTAATGGACCAGATAAGCCTAGTAGTTAGTCAAAAGGGCCAGAAGGAGAGGAGAGATAATAACCTCCCAGTCAACAGTAACCAGACTAAAACCCAAACTTGTTGGTGTCCAGTCTATTCCAATTCATAGTGATCCTATAGAACAGCACCGAACTGCCACTTAGAGGTTCCAAAGCTATCAGCACTTTTTATATAAGCACTTTAACCACTGTCCCATGAGGGCTTCTTCTAGTACATGTAGTAAGAGCACACAAAAATGTAGGATCAAATGGCATGGGCCTCATGGGCCAAAATGAGGATTAAAGTAATTCTTTTAATGTACTTAAAAATAATGTCTAGCGGGGAGGGGGAAGGGTAGAGTATGGGCTTCTAGGATATGCCCTTTGGTCGGAAGACGTTGCATGGAGGGGATTGGAACCATGGCAATGTAATGATATACAATGGAATAAATATGGAACTGAGGTTCTCTCATGTAAACTATCATCTAATTCACAATAAAACATTAAAATATAATATAATAATAATAATGTCTATAACATATGAGGAGGTTTCAAAAAGTTTGTGGAAATGTGGAATTAAAAGATAATGGGGGGAAAAAATAAGATAATGGAATTTTCCCCCAAAGATGCCCCTAGTAGTAGATGTTCAGCAAATGTTTGTGTCTTTAAATCTTTCCCTTTCCTTCATAGGAATCTTTTAAAAATTTGTCACAAATCAATGAAATTATGAGATCAACGTATGTTGTTGTTAAGTGCCGTCAAGTCGGTTCCGATCCATAGCAACCCTGAACAGGGTTTCCGAAGCTGTTAATCTTTTCAGGAGCAGAAAGCCTCATCTTTCAGTTTCGAACTGCTGACCTTGCAGTTCGCACCCCGATTCGTAAACACTACACTCCTTGTGATAGAGGTGTTTATATACCAGAATGAAGAACTGTCGTAGATAACTGGTGCTGCTATAACAGAAATGCCACAAGTATTTTTGCCTTAACAAACCAAAATTTATTCCGCCACAGTTTAGGAAGTGTAAAGTTTGAATTCAGCATGCTCTAGGTGAAGGCATTCTCGATTTGTGAGCTCTGGGGAAAGGTCCTTGTCTCCTTTCAGCATCTGTAGATCCAGCATTCCTTGGAGCTCTCCATGTGTCTTGGCATCAGTCTTCCCTGGATCTAGGAGCATCACAGTGCAGGGACCAAGGAGTTCATCCAGAAGATGAACCAGATCTTCTTTCTTGGAGGTTCTTTTTCTTCTCACTTCTGTCTCCTTTTATCTTTGTAACATAAAAGACGTTGCAGGCCATGCCCATAGGAAACGCCTTTACATTACATCACGATTGTGATGAGATTAAGGGTGCTTGGTGCAGCCCAACCTCACTCCTCTTAGTGATTTATAACATCATATCTCATCATAGGGCATCATCACATAACTGCCACTTTCTATTGTTACATATCTGCCAGACCTGAGAAATCATGATTCAGCCAAATTAACACATATTTGTGGGGGACATAATTTAATCTATTGATGAGATCCTAAAATATTTCTTAAAATTTCTTTATTCTACATGTATATTTTTTAAATGGTGATGAGAATTTTAAGGTAGCCAGTTTGGGGGCTAGAATTTAATTTCTAAATTTAAAATAGGTACATTATTTTTTAAAATCTATTTTTTTACAAATAAAATTTATATTAATTTATTACTGACCAATTAAATTATAGGTTCAATATAAAGATGCCATTGAGGATAAGTTCATTCTGTAATATTTTCCTTTTCCTCTTTGTTATCCCTTAGTTTTTAAAAGAACAGTTCCTCCATTAGACGAGGCCCTAAAACAAATTCAGGGATCCAGCTTAAAATCAGAATTAAATCTTCCCACGTCCCACAGACCAACAATTGACTGGAGGTAAGTAATTTACGATAGTGTGTATTATTAGTAGTATGTAATCATTACATAGCTTTCTATTTGCTGAGCACCTTTTCGTTAGGTGCTCCTCATCTGTTGTCGAGTTTACAATTATATTTTCACAGTTTAAATTAAGATATAATAGAATGTGAATTGCTCCACGAGTAAGGCAAAATTCAAATTTATTGTCTTGAAGTGTTTGGTATGGCAAATGCTGCCTCCATTGAATACTTTTTTAATAGATATTATTATCAGAAATACTACTTTAAAAATATTGACACTAGTTATTACTCATCCTTACTAAGAAGAGAAAGTTGTGTTGAAATGCAGCAATGAATGTTTGGGTACAAGGAGAAACTTTAGGGGAGAAAGGAGGTGTTCCTTCTTAAAAATCTTTCCTGAATGTCATGAAAAGGCAGTCTCATAGTTCCTCCTGGCTTAAGCGAATCATCTAGAAGCAGCAGCATAGACCAGCTAACCTTTGGGCACCTTCTGAAGTCCTGTATTTGCTTATTCTAAATACATATCAAAGCTACTATGTGGTGTGGTGCTGTAGGATAAGCACTAAACTATTGATTGCAAGACCAGTGGTTCAAACTCACCAGCTGCTCTTAGGAAACCCTCTAGATAAAAAATGCTCAGGGCAGTTCTTCCAACCAATTGTTCCATTCCCACAAGCAGGCTTCCCTTGGCCTGTTTAATCATGCAAAGCTCTTTTAGAACTGCTGATAAATGCCACAGGACACACCACTCCACCATATGCCTCGACCAGAAGGCATTCAGCTCTAGCCCTGTGGGTCAACAAACCTAGCTCCCCCAGTTAAGCATCTGGAGATACCCTACTCTGCAAGCAAGCTTCCCTCCCAAATCACTCAGCTTTACTTGCTTCATGGGCTGGGAAGCCCACCTCTCTGTCTTATGTCCTGGTTCTTGGTACTACTGCTGCTATTCCTCTACCACTCCTCTGGTGTCACAGTTTTCTGTCCCTGTGTCGAGGAGGTTCAGTGTACAAGGATCTTAGTGTCCAAAGGACCTGCTCCACTCCTGGCTCTTCTTCTTGGATGGTAGTGAGATCCTCCTCCTGCTTCTGAAATAGCTCCTTTTGTACCCATGTTAGAGTTTCGAGTTTTTGACAGTTGCAGTGAACTCAGTTCATATCCACAGCTAAATCGTGTCATTCTACCAGAGTCTTCTCCCACTTTCTCTTACTCATACGCAGCAGGGCAAAAACGTTGTTTGGTAGGGTTACAGACTATGGCTAGAAAAGACGTTAAATAATTCACTATGCTGCAGAAGGGTATTGAACAGCTTGGAACAATTTGAGTGGTAGGGTAGCAATGAGGATAATACGAAAAACAAGGGAAATTAAGTCAGAAATGAATAGTCAAGAGGAACCTAATTTTGCCATTTTTAAGTCAGTTAGTTAATCATTAGTAAAAGTAGTGTATTCCAGAGCCAGATTATCAGTGGGTTACAGAACAAAGTTGGGGCAGTGATGGCAACATCATTTGAGACTATTTGGTGGAAAATGTTGGAAAAGGAAGAAGACAGAGGGAATTTTAGGTCCAGGAAGAATTTAGGACAATTTTTTTTAGACATCCAAACCATTTAGAATAGCAGTAATATATATATATTTTTGTATATCTGTTTTTTCACCCTCAGTTTTCTTTTTCTGTTACCAATTGTTTTCCTTATTTTGGTATTTTCAATAATAAAATGCTTTTGTATTATGAGTGAAAAACATTGTCATTTTTGTTTTTCAAGAATGTGAATCACATAGTATTAGGAGAGAGAGTATCAGAGTAATTTTGACTCAGTAGCAAAGAAACTCATATAATTATTATAGAAAATCTGTAATAAGATCATTAGAATAGAAATATCATTTTTGTTTTATAAGAAATGGTATTCATTCTGCATGTTATTATAATATAATTATTGTGATTATGACTTTGTATAGGCACATATATACACATAAATATAAATGTTATATATTTAGAAAATATATTTATACAGGTTGTATAAAGAACACTATCATTTACTTACTAAAAATTGGTCTCTCTACAGACAACTAACAGTATCACATAATACGAGAGAGTTTCAAAAACTTTGTAAAAAATTCCATTATCTTTCAATTCCACCTTTCTACAACCTTTTTGAAAGGAGCTCTGGTAGCGTAGTGGTTACGAATCGGGCTGCGAACCTTAAGGTCAGTGGTTCGAAATTACCAGCTGCTCCGCGGGAGAAAGATGAGGCTTTCTACTCCCGTAAAGATTTACACCCTCGGAAACCCTGTACAGGGTCGCTATGGGTCGGAACTGACTCGATGGCACTTAACAACAACAACAACAACAACCTTTTTGAAGCTCCCTAGTATATGTGAAAGAGTTTTATAAACTATTAAATGCTATGCAAATAGGAGCTGTAGGAATATTAAGTATAATGTGTTAGATTGGTGGGATGACTTATGTGTGTTAGTTCTTGCAAATATAATTAAGCTACTACAAACAGTGATAAGCTATTATCACATTACAAATGCATTTTCAGTGGAATAGTAATATGACATGTTAAGGGATAAAGTAATGCCAAGAAACAATGAGTTTTCAAGGAAATGGCTGTATTCTCAGGAAAGATTGCTCCAATGTGGAAAATATTAGTGGTACATAAAAATAATTTAAGATAGTGATAATATAGCAGTCTAAAGGAGGAAATACTAAATAAAAAAGTGGAGCACCTTCAATGTTTAAGTCTCAAGAAAAATCAGAGAATATTTCCTTATGAGACTAGAAATTACTCGAGGAAATAGTGAAATTATAAGAATATTAATAAAGGACTAATAGTAAAAACATAAGGAACAATTACCTTTCTATCACAACCCAACCCTTATCACAAAGATAATATACTTGACCCTTCTGGTAGTAGTAGGATAAAAGAGGCTATATTCTATCTCATATTAGATTTTTAGACTCTAAAATTATATTGTTAGGTATCTATCTCCAATATCCATATATTTGTGGTCAGTTGATCCTGAGCCACATGCTACCCTGGCCAGAGCTGGGCAGTCGTCTATTTGACCTTTACTTGCCCTTTGTACTGGTGCTTTAAATCAGATTTTCCTGTCAATTATATATTTGTGACTAACAAACTTTATGACCAGTGAAAATATTCTAAGTGTAATGAAAGAGAAACAGGGAACCTGAATAAACTATGTGCATTTCTCAGTCCATGTGAGAGGACACTAGTTGGTCAGAGGAGAATCATGTATGGACCTTCCATACAGAAAATGACATGAATTAAAAGTTTAAAGGCAGCCCAATAAACCAAAAACAAACAAACATCTTAATAAGGCTGTCTCTCTACCTGCCTGTCCAAATGCTTTTCCACCTGTGCAGATCCATTCCTGCCTGTCCAGCTGTCTCCACACCTGGTCCCTACTTCCCTGATCAGTTATCTCCTTTACGGGCCCCTTTGCTATCCCACCATTCCCAAATTCTTCCTAGCTACCCAACTGTTTCTCCCACCCGCCAGCAACATACCCTGCCTAACCGTCCATCTATCCCCTCTACTCTTCCAAAGACCTTTCTACCAGCACCACTGCTGTCCTACCCAGTCAAATATCTCCCTCACCCTCCAGCCCCAGTCACTTCCAGCTTTTCTAGCAGTTTTCCTCGTCTCCCAGCCCCAATTCCTTCTGGCCCACCAGACCACCTCCCTCCTCCTCCATCTCGAAGTTCTCCAGTCGTTCCTGATCTTGATTCACAAAACAAGTTATTTTACAAAACTTTCAGACCCAAGTATTTCCTTCCTGCCCAGTGTTCTACCCCAGCCACTCTAATGCCTGCCCTTGTTCGTCGTTCCCTTCCAGCTCGACTGGTTCTTTCCCCAACCCCTTTGGAAGCTCTCCCGGGTTTGAAGCCATCCTGTTTATCCAGTCACCCCCCTCATCAGCCGGTCCCCACTCTTTCTTATATCACTCCGTGGCATGAGCATCCTTCTGCTAGCTTGGATCCCTTTCAGTCGGTCCAGCAAGCTATTCCACAAGCCACAACATTTTCAAACCTACCCCAGGCCCTTGCAGATCACCCACCTGTCTCAGTCCCCTCCCATCCACCTCACTGCCATTTTCCCTCTTCTTCCACATCCACATCTTCTTCACCATCTATACTGCTTTCTAATTCATCATCCATTCTTTCATCTCCCTCATCTTCCTCTTCAACCTCTCCATCCTTACCTCCTTCATCTGTCCCTCTTCTTTCCTCTCCTGTACGTTCTTCCTCTCCACTTTTGCCTCCAACTTATTTAGATTTTCCCTCTCCAATTTCTCCTGTTTCTTCTCCCTTTATGATTTCTTCTTCTTTTCCTCCCATGCTTCACTCTCCCTCTATTTCTACCTCCCCACCTTCTTTTATTCCTACCCATCCCTTCAATCCTCCTCACTGGGGGAAGAAAGTAGAGAAGAGAAGAGAAGAAAGTCAAGTAGAGAAGAAAGGAATAGAGAAGAAAAAGTTGAGAGACGACAACTTTAAAGGTAAATAAATTGAGTTTATTAGATATTTTGTAGATTTAGCAATAATTTTGTTGGGAAGGGTGACTGACTTAATATGTAAGAGTAGTAAAGTGTCAAAGGAAGAGAGGGAAACATACTCTAAATGCTCAGGAGCTTCTGTTCAATACTTCCTTGTTCTCTGTGGTCTCCGTGTGATCACAAAGGCTAGTCAGGACTCTAGCAGTTATTGACTATCACTATCCAAGTCTGTCCACATAAAGACATAGATGGGTATTGGAGATAGGTACCTGTCACATGTGACCATGTGTCACCTTCAAAACATTTTTTGATCCTTCTTGAATTGGGAATAAGGTCCCTTGGGATTTACACTGCTGGTCCTACTGCAGCAGTCAGCTAGCTATATGATGAACCTCATCACTACCCCACCCTCAAAAAATGCTTTCTTTGTTCTTTGGTTTTTATTTTGAAACTTATGTGTATGGATATACACTGAAATTTGATTATGTGTCCAGACACTACAAAATTCTAACAGATAATGATGTCATGCACTGATAAATGGTGGATGATACTTGGACACATAAAAAGTAGACTCTATATTAAATGTGGACTCCTGGTGTGACACTGTAGGATAAGCACTGGACCACAGGGTCACTCCAAATCACAAGGCTGGCAGTTCAGACTCACCAGCTACTCCTCGAAAACCCTATATAGGCACTTAACAACATATTAAATGTGGTGCTGTGGATTAATGTGCTGGACTAAAAGTTGGTTTGAATCATAGGGTCTGTGGTTCAAGCCCACCAGCCGTTCCTTGGAAACCCTATACACAGTTGCTATGGGTCGGAACTGACTTGACGGCGCTTAGCAACAACAACAATTCAGTAACTTGAAAACCATGATTATATTCCTGAAACTGAAAACAAATGTGCACACTCTCCTGCACAGATAAGATCAAAGTTTCCAAACCTAGTTAAATAGGATAGAAAATCTTGTCTCCCATTAAAAGCAATTTGCATAATTTTCTTTGCTTGAAACTTTAACCAGTTTAGGATTATAGGAATATTTGACAGCCATGTCATCAACTCAGTATTAAGAGTGATACAGCATATTATTATCTAGCTAGAAATTCTCCTAAGGAACTGAATATTACATATGTCTTCAGTAATAGCTTCTACCACCCCCACCCCCAAACGATAGGAGATTCAGGTTTAATAATCAAGGCCATGAATAATGGGGCATTCCTACATAAAAGTAGAGTTCTTTGTTCACACTGGAGTCCCACATTTTTTCCTACTATTGACTGCATTAAATTCCCATCCTAATGTATCTATATACTTCTCCAATATCCTTATATGTAATTATCTGGGCACACATATTATACATGTACCATTTCTGTACTTATATGTAAAGAAGTCAATGGTATTTAAAAGTACTAAATCTATTTTATTTCTGGTTTACAGAGCTATAGATTCTGCTTTACATTCAGCGTTGCCAAACAATGATCACAAGCATCAGACACATCTCTTTTCCAAAATCAGTTGTGATAAAGAAATAAAGGACAAGAGCAGGACAAACTTGGCTGCTAACAAAGATGTATTCCAGCTTGAACTGGAGGAAACGCAGAAGCTCCTAGATGATCAGCATTTAAGCAGTTTGCAAGTATGAAACTAAAAATGTTTATTAATGTTTTAATCTCTAATAATAATTCTTTCTCATTTTTGTAGTTTTCTTCACTAAAGAAACATATGTTATTAATTGAGACAATAAAAAAGTGTGAATGAATCAGCACATATTCATCATGGATCCTAGGGAAATAATATCTTTTCCTTTATCTTTCATCCATTTTTCCTTTGTTTCCTTATGTTTTTTCTCTATCAGAAAAAAATTTTTCATTTTTATTTTCTATTCAGAAAAAAATAAGCTTTATGAATGTCATTTTCTGAAAAATCAAATCTACTTAAAAGTATAAGGTAACAGAAACACTTACTCAAAACTGGATTATAGGAAAAGCTGGAAATTATAATAAAGGTAAATATTAGGTTCTTTTTGGAGATATGACACAATTAGCTAGAGATAGTGCTTCATGTCTACCCATACTAGGTCATTTACTTTGCTATTTTCCAGTTGATTGTCCTACATGCACATGCATTTTATTTTTCATAAATAAATGCACACATTTATGAGACTCTTTAGGCCAGTATCGAGATTAAATTTAGAGCCTTGGTCCAATTCATAGAATGCTAAGTAGTAGTGACAAGGCTAAGAAAAGATTTCTGCTGACAGTAATGAAGCACCTTCCTAATCTAAACAGTTATAAACAGTATAGGGTGTGACCTTGAAAAGAGGCAAACTGGTGAGGCTTTCTACCTGGAGGTACTTTCTGGACACAAAAAAAATCCACAAATAATTCAACTGCCAATCAAGAACAACATAAAAAAAATAATACCCTCTTAAAGGAAACTACGAAATCCAAACACACAAGACAAAATATTCACATATCCAACATGCAGTCAAAACTTAGCAGACAGGTAAATAAGCAAGAAAATACGACCTATAATTAGGAGACAAAATAGTCAATAAAATCAGACACAGAAATGACAAAGATGGTAGAATTAACAGACAAAGAACTTAAAATTTTTTATGAATATTTTTAAAGAATTAAAGGAAAAATTAACATAATGAAGAAAAAAATTTGTAATAGTACAGTCACTGAAAAAGAAAAGATCAATGGGCTTGAAGAAAGAACAATGTTTTGAAATTTCTAAAAACTATAAATCCACAGATTTAAGAAGTTCAGTAAACTCCCAGCAAGTATAATATACATACATACAAACAGAAAATAACAAAGATTCCTCAAAATCAAATTAAGCTAGAGAAAAAAACGGCATATTACATCCAGATAAAAATGTTTTTGTTGCTAAATGTTGTCGAGTAGGTTCTGACTCATAGCAACCCTGTGTAGGGTTTCCAAGAAGCAACTGGTAGACTTGAACTGCTGACCTTGCAGTATAAACTGAACTTGCAGTGCAGCTTTATATCACAGCACCACTCCAGGACTCAAGAAGATATAAAATTCCTAAATATATACGAACCCATTAACAGAGCTTAAAAACGCATGACAAAACTTTGAGGAAAAATAGACAAATCTACAATAATAGCTCAGATATTTCACATTAATTCATAGATTTAAGAAGGATAAACAAGGTTTTATATAACTTTACCTGATTTTAAAACTTATTCATAATAAGCATCAATAACCATCTTGTGTCTTTGAGAAAATCCATCAAAGAAGTCACCATAACCTTCTGAGCTGACCTCTCTAACTTGAATTGAACTGGCCCTCAAAAACAGCCACTATTTTAATTGGACCTTTTTTTGAAGGTATCCTAACTGGACTGAGACAAGTGTATTCCTGAGAGAACTGTGTGCAGCCACCCACGGATCACAAACACATGTTTAAGCATGTTTGTGCTACATGTATGAACTGGGGCTCTAGTAGCAATACTTTTTTACTTACTCTCATAATGCAGTCCTGAACCAGATTCCATCACCATTCTGTAAAGGGATGGAAAAAACTAATCACTAACTTTATATCGAAAGGAGAGAGATCCTGGAGAGAGTAGGAGTAATTACACTCTCCAATTTCAAAACCTACTATGTGAGGGAGCTTTGTTTTTCCATGAACTCTTTGAATCCCCTTCATATAGACACACTAATCAAAATAGGCAAATATGACAAATCAGAGGCAGCTTCAAAAAGTTTGTGGAAAAATCTCTTTACCTGCCAATCCCATTTTTCCACAATTTGGAAGCCTCCTCTTACAAAGACCAATGGAACAGAATTGAGAACCCAGAAGTAAATTTATCCTCCTGAAGAACAGCTGATCTTTGACAAAGAGCCAAAATGCATTAAATGGAAAAGCGCTAGTCTATTTAATAATGTTGCTGGCAAAACTAGGTATCCTTTTGCAAAAAAAATGAAACAGGGTCCATATCTCACACAACATGAGAAAACTGTTTCAAGATGGATCAAAGACCTAAGTGTAAAAACTGAAACTATAAAGATAATCAAAGATAAACTAGGGGCACAAAACACTATGGGTTAATGTGCTGAGCTGCAAAGTTGCTTTGAACCTCAAGGTCAGTGGTTCAAGCTCACCAGCTGCTCCTTGAAAACCCTATAACAGGGTCGCTATGGGTTGGAACCGACTTGACGGCACTTACAATGACATAAATACACTATGAAACACAGCAATAAATGAAAAACTGGATAAGTGGACCCTCAAAAAATTGATTATTTACTTGTATCAAAATAGTTCACCAAAAGAGTAAAAAGAGAATCCACAGACTGGGAACATTTTTTGCCAATGACATATCAGACAATGGATTAATTTCTAAAAATTATAGAAAACTTCAGCACCTCAACAACAAAAAGACAAATAATCTAATTTAAAAATGGGCAGAGGACTTGAGCAGACACTTTACCAAAGAAGACATTCAGGTAGTCAACAAACTTGAAGAAATGCTCATGATCATTAGCCAGTAGAGAGACACTAATCAAAATGACAATGAGATATATCACTCCAGCATTAATAGCAAAGGAAAAAAAAAATGCTGGCCAATTGTTTGAAGAGATTAGAACGTAATTGCACTTCCTTAAAAATTGGAAATAGAAATACCATACAACCCAGTAATCACACTACTAGGTATATATCCTACAGAAACTAGAATTGTAACACTAATAGATATTTGCACACCCATGTTCATCACTGCATTATTTACAATAGCAAAAAGATAGAAACCGTTCAAATGCCCTCCAATAGATAGATATAGAAATTACGGTACATAATCATAATGAATATTTTACAATTTAAAAATACAACGATGAATCTGTGAAACAAACACCTTATAACATGGATGAACCTGGAGAACAATATGCTGAGTGAAATTCGTCATCACAAAAGTGCAACTATTCTATCAGACTACTACTATAAAAGGAGTCCTAGTGTGGCACTGTAAGGAGCTCTGGTAGCGTAGTGGTTACGAATCGGGCTGCGAACCTTAAGGTCAGCGGTTCGAAACTACCAGCCGCTCCACGGGAGAAAGATGAGGCTTTCTACTCCCGTAAAGATTTACACCCTCGGAAACCCTGTACAGAGTCGCTATGGGTCGGACCCGACTCGATGGCACTTAACAACAACAGCAACAACAGTGTGGCACTGTAGGATAAGCATGACTGCAGGGTTGATTTGAACCACAAGGTTGGCCAGCATTTTTGTTTTTTTTCTTTGCTATTAATGCTGGAGTGATATATCTCATTGTCATTTTGATTAGTATCTCTCGACTGGCTAATGATCATGAGCTGCTCCTCAGAAGCCTTATACAGGGTTGCCATGAGTTGGTACTGACTCAACAACACTTAACAACAACAACACTACCATAAAAAGTTAGGAAAAAAGTTTTTACAATAAAGAAATATTCTTTGATGGCTACCAGGGTTAGAAAGTTTAAAGCAATTGTTCAATGTAGGAATACCTTCCATCAAATCTGTGTAGTACCATTCGCCTTCCTACACCTGTTCAGCTTGCGTGTTTAGCTATGTATTGACTCATAAACTATTACTAAATTATTATTACTGTCATTATATTGTGTACAGACTAGTATTTACCTCTGTGTGCCTTTAGTTCTTGTGCTCTTCCCAGTGTCTTCAATTACCTTGATCATTTTGTTTTCCTTCTTTCAATTTAATATGAGTCCTGGTGTGGCAATGTAGGGTCAGCACAGTACTGCTAACCCACAAGCTGTTCTTCAGAAACCCTATACAGGGTCGCTATGAGTCAGAACCGACTCAGCAGCACTTAGTAGCAACAACATTCTACATTTAGAAAGAAATAACAACTGTCTTTTATTTATACAAACTACAAATGTATCCATGAATTTAGTAGAGCATACTGGGGCAAAGTGATGAAAACTTCTTAGCCATAACGAAACTCCTAGAGGGAATCTGTCACTGGTCCTGGGGACTCAGAACCATAGCCTCAGAACACATCAAGGTCATTTGGCACAACATAGCCACATAGAAAATGTTTTCATCCTACTTTGTTGAGTAGTGACTGGGTCTTAAAAGCTTATGAACATCTAATTTTGGTGCAATTATTAATCTGTCCTCATCCACAGTGACAAAGAGTGAAGAAAATCAAAGATGATGGAAACAGTTATCCAATGAGTTAGTGGACCATATGAAACTCAGCATCCATGACCCTGCGTAGAGTGGAAAATAATGTAGAACAAAACTCAAAATCATTTAAAAAAAAAAAAAAGGATCAGGCTTGCTTGTCAGGCAGAAACTGGTGGAACCCCAGAGTCTATGACCCTTAGTCACCCTTCAAACCTGGAACTGAGCTCATCCCTGTGGCTCAAGTTTCAGACAAGCAATAGACACACATATAAGGTGAAAATGACAGCAAAAGGCACACGCTCCTTAAAACAGCCAACCATATGAAATCCAAAGGAAAGCAAGCATTTCCTTAGAGACAGGGTTCAGAAGGCAAGAAAGGATGGGAAAGAACAATGGAAATGAATAACACAAGGAGAAATGGAATGAGTGCTGTTCCATCTTGAAGTTTACAAGCAGTCATGAAACTATATATATATATTTGT